TATTTTACACAGAGAAATTTATTACTCAATTCAAAACAACAGAAAAAAATGATAGGTCACCATACTAGTTTGCGAGAAAATGACAATTTACCTCTATGGAGAGGTCCAGCTGTAAAGAGAAAGCCGCCATTTTTTAACGCGCGCGCGCTAATCACGCGTGAAATTATGCGCAGTAGCGATGCGCAATGCAATACTGGGGAATGACCTTAATTTAAGGTTATTCCTCAGAATTGCATTGCGCATCCCTACTGCACACGATTTTCGCGTCATTAGCGCGCGCTCGTTGGCACGTGCACATACAAAATGGTCGTTTCTTCTCGGAAACGAGTAGGGGACCTAACGATTTTTTCACTTAGTTTGATTGCAGCGATCACCTTCTTTCTATAAAGTGAATATAGACCAATTTCTATTGCAGAGTGACAAATTATCACTGGAAATGAGAGCATAGCAAGCACTCGTAAACGATAAGATGTGCCCTCAAGAACACTGCGTGCTTGGAACATACTGAATCCCTGTCGACTAAATATAGGTACCTTTGTCATGAAACGTACATCAAGTTGCTCCTTAAAACATTGATGCAGTACATCCATTGTTGTATTTCTCGCTTACCTTTCTCCCTATTTTTCTGCTCTCACAAAGCGTAAAGTGTGTGGTTTAAATGTAAACGTTACTGAAAGCAGATAATTTAAGGAATTATGGGGTTTATTGAGGGTCCCCCTGCTCCTGAACGAATATGGAGACCCCCTTTTTTATTTCAAAATTTAAGTTCTCTTGATGTAAGCAGCCAACAGGCAAAATATGAATAATAATCTAAGGTGCATTCTTTTTCGGGGGAATGACCTTAAGGCTATAATATGTTAATTTCCCAAACATTCTTTATATACACGCTTATGTTCTGTAACGGCTTTGTAATTTATGCTATACATACCGTTATATATTAAAATAAGCGTTCACCTTATGTATCTTGAGTACAGTAGCCAGATTAAGCTTTGAATGATGAGGTTCGTTTAAGGTTCTCTCTACCATCTAATATTGCACGTTGCAGCTAAAGGGCAGTTTAAATTCTTCGACAACGTCTACTGTCTACGAATGCCTACGAGCGAAAACAACTTCCCGTGCCTCGCGACTTAAAGCGTTACAATTTTCAATGTTATTCTACCAGATATCATTGTCTCCACAACATTTAGAGTTGGGGCAATTAAGTGGTGAGATCCTCGAGAACTGGAAGCTATGGGAAAAAATACTGTAATAATTACTTGGTTTGGTGCGGGAAAGCCCCGAGTATCAACTCGCCATGTTCAAGGACGTTATTGATGACAATGGCCTTTAAGTGTTCAAAGTCTTAAGCTATACTGAAGAAGAAGATGCAAACGATTGCCGTGTAATAATAGGGAAGATGAAAAAGTATTGCATCGGCGAAGTAACGTAAACGAGATTGTTTCAGCAAGAGGGAAAAACTTCCTACCGAAACGCTCGACAACTTAATGGCTGAATTGAAAAGAACCTAGGCAAAGAGCCGCAATTTATGTGATTTTTTACGTTTATTACACGTTCGATTGGTCTTGGGATAAAACATAAGCAAAGCACAAAGCAGCCACTAAGAATGACACACCCCACGTTAAACAAGTGTATCGACCTCCCAGCATCCGAGATGCAAATATAGGGATCTTAACAATGACGACGGCGACGCCGAAGACAACGCCTTGTAAAATTGAATTTGTCCAGGACGAAGGCTAATTAGGCGGCTAAATAAAGTTTTACTTTACTTACTTTTACTGTCGGATTTGTCAGAAGGAAGCTGCATCGTTGCCCTGAACACATTTAAGAAAAACTCTTGTTATTTATTAGTAAGAGACTTTCTGTGTGTGATTCACATACCCAAAAGGAAATTCATGACATCCAGATCTTGGGTATACATATATGTTATTTGCCGGCTGGGAGGTCCGTATAATGAAAAACTGTGATCGAGGTCTTGAAAATGCTGACCGAGACCGCAGGCCGAGGACAGCATTTTCAAGCCCGAGGTCACAGTTTTTCACTATACGGTCCGACCCTAAGCCGGCAAATAACATGTTTATTTATTTTTTCCTGCGGTAAATTGGTTTTACTGATTACAAATGGATTTGTTTACGCGACCCTTGTCATCAGGGTGGAAAAAGGCAGGGCGGTGAAACGGGCAGTCCGCTCTTGGTCCAATGTGTGATGCGGAGAAGGACTGGCACGAGCGCTTCTTCCGCGCTTCCGGTGAGATTAATGGCTGCCAAAAATTTCCTCTCGACGAACCGGAAATCAACTTTTCTTTCTTTATTTTTGAGCCACCAGTGGTGTATTTTCAAAAGCCTTTTTGATGCGTTAGACAAAAAGTCAATACGTTTATGTCTGTTGTAATGATGCCTAAGTAGTTTCGTCTTAGGCTGTCCAAATTTGAGTGAATTAAGACAGTGTCGAATGCAGGCATGTCCCGCTTATCATGTCCAAGCCGTGATCCGCTTCTTCTTTTACGAGTACTTTACATTACTCCACTCTAAATTTTACATATGTTGAAAATCGATAGCTTTCACATAACACGGTAAAAAACCAACTGGATATATTTGGATATAGCGGCGTTTCAGAACTTCAAAGTTACCCTACTCTTGCCACACCCTTGCTTGGACTGTTTTGCCATAGAAAAAGTAATAAAATTTTTGCGAGTTTGAGTTTCGCCTGAATTGCAAGCAACACGCGATGTTTCATCAAGGCACAAAAACTTTTGTCTGTAAATACTGCTCAGTTTTGTGTGTGAAAATCCAATAAATCGCTGGTTGTCGATGAAAAAAAGCGCCCGCCGATGCGTGTTTTGTTGCTATAAACATGACAAATTAGACTTCAATTCCACTCTTTCGTGTAAAAACGTACACCGAACTCAAACAATATTTTTAAATGTGTTTAAGACTGATGAATGTTTGAGAACACATTAGAAGTTTAGCTTAAAATATGGGAAGAAAACAGAAACAATCAGCACGGTTACGGTAGCGCTTTCATTGATCAACCCGAATAACGATTCAATTTCGATTTTGTTGTCTGAGTTCTCAAAATTCCATGTCTATTTCATTTTCGCAGTATAAAATTTCAATATGTTGAAGAAACACACATGATGTTAGTAGTCTTATAGCGTTGGCGATAATTGTTGCAACATCACAGCACAAAAGATGACGAAAATAATCTTTGTCAAGATTTTATATTGACAATTGAAAACACCGACCCGGACTTGAAAGTACACGCGCTGCACTATCCAAATTTGCTACTTGTATGCGCCAGATTTATTTTCCTTTCAAAAGCTTCTGCAAACTCGCCAAACGAGCAGAAACAATAACAAACTATCGAAACAGATTTTGGTTATGATTGAACATGCATTGTTCTGAAAAATAACTCGATACCAGAGTAGAGAGTTTTCTTGCATAAACTTTATTCTTAAGTCAAAAGCTTACGCGTACAACTAGCGCGAGCAGATCGTACTCATTCACAGCGTGAAATTTGAAGTCCTGTTTTCCACCCTGAAAAACTCACCTTTTCCCATTGCCTCAGAACAAAAAATGCACCAAAAGAAGTTGCTAATTCATATAGAAGGGAGTCTCGTGGAATTTCTTTAGAAATCTAAGTTCGAGTGCAAGTAAGCGGAATCTGCTCGTCTTAGTAGACCCCAGTCTACTGCATCACACCTTTTTGCTCGGACCCGCTCGTTTCACCGCCCTACATATAAGCTTGTCATTGAATCGGCTTCCGTGCCGTCTACTAACGAGTTGTAAAAAACTCTTCGCAATGAGCGAGTAACTCAGATAGTAGACAAAGAAAGACGTATTAAAGAACATATGTTAGTTGCATTTTTTTTTTTACCAGTTAAGTTCTCCAAAATTTGTTTTTGCGGTGTAAAATTTCGTGCGAAGTTTGAAGTTCCATTACAAAAACAATTTCTGTCAGTCGTTGCTTTTAAAATCACTCAGAAATCAGAATTTTCTACCGTAAATTGAATAGCAGGAAGCGAGGAAATTCGTTAAGTGTATTCCACAGAAATTCTCTTAAATAAAGCAACGATCAGAGAGGTAATCACGACTGAAATTGACTCAAATTTTACGGCGAGAGAAACACAGGATTACGCGCCATTACAGCGCCAAGCTACAAACAACCAAGCAANGACTAATCGTCGATGGACGTGTAAAAAAGGCAAAAGATTGACGATTACCGCTAACTTTTAGGAGCGAAATATAGGCAGCGAAAAAAAATTCCGGCCCGTGGGCCGTATCGTAAAAAGCTGGGCCGGTCACGTGCGTATGATAAACCAATCAAATTTGAGGATTTAGGAATCCGGCCCGTTCAGATGCTTGAGAAAAAAAATAAAATTTATTATCGAATACCAGGGTATGTGATTCGCATACCTAAAAGGAAATTCATGACATCCGGATCTAAAGTGTACACGACAAGCCGCTCGTTTTGTTAAACTTTTTATATTTTCGAATACGAGGGTATGTGACCAGTCTCTTGAATGAGCTAATAATGAAAACGCATCTCATTAAATCGGTTCTGCAACCATTTCTCATTAAATCGATTGTTATCAGTTGATGTTGAACCAAGCCGGCTATTTACATGTACCATGCAAGATTGACAATACAGTAGTTCTTGGCCAATTTCCTTGCGAATTACACGACGTGCAATGCCACATATAGCTGTCAGCAATTATTTTTCCCCTTTTTTACAGAAATAAGAATAATCCCTGGATGGACTATGAAACAAAATATTTCTTTCCTCTTCCCTATTTTTCCCACGAGAAAATATGGAGGAACTTGAAGTTACAACTCATTGTGAAAGATAATGAAATAAACAGATAAATGGATTACAATCCATTATTAAAGGCAAATGAAAGCCATTAAACTTTATAGATGATACAAAATTGACCATACAATTTCTATAGTATATAATTATATATAGGAAGACAAAACTAAATGATGCTTTCTTCTGAAGGTCATAAAAACCAAAACTGTGTTACCCGCTACCTGTGAATTCACCAAGACAGTAGACGAGACAAAGTCTACAGATTCTATGAAAGAGCAAGATATATATGCAGGACTGAAATGTCACAATGACCGTTTAGAAGGAGGTCGTAGCAGATGATATGTGAAGGGTGGTACATCTCGAGAACGTTAGCCTACATTTTTCAAGTTTGTCGATTACAATCCATCTCAGCGTTGTCATTCTTATCCAGTCTTGTTCACGTGACTTACCACCTTGGTTGTTTCCGTTGATTCTTAATAGTATATTTTACACATTAAAAAAAGTGACTTAATGCATAATGGCTTGTCCTTTTAAAAGCACCATAACTCGTAATTTGATGTACTTTTCCGATTCCTACTTTTTGTACGTTAATACCCTAGCAAGAAAGACACTTCACACTCTCAGTTCTGATCTGTAATCGCGGACAAAACCTGTTGAGACAAAGACATATCAAAGCCGCTCTCCTCAAACTGCGATGCTAAAAAGACACCCCCAGGCAAGAAATGCCCTTCCCCCCTCCCCCCTACCCTCCCTTCTCAAAGTTGCCGTTTGTTTTTTTAGAAAATATCTTTTACGATGAACCATTCATGCTTAATTCACGCACAAAGCAAAATTGAAAGCGGGAAAGGCCGTGGAAAAGTAGGCAATAAGAGTGGGAATCTGTCATAAGTCTACATTTGACTCAGTTGTCTCAACAGTTTTGTCCGAGATTGTAGAATGCATTGGCATCCACTCTATGCCAGGCAGGGTTATATGGTGGCGCTGACGCCTGGACCGCAGGAGACGGCGGTGACGGTACCCTTTTTCTATTACTGCATTGGACGACTATACATACTGCTACAGCAGTAGCAACTATTACTTCAATGACGATAGCAGCAATGACTCCATCCGACATTCCACCCTTATCGTCATCATCATCATCGTCATCGGGGTCTTTAGGAGCATCACTGCTTCCAGGAGCTCTTGTGCCTTAAGAAATAGATAACGCAATATCCTTTTATTTACACTGAACATTCCATTCAGTGGATTTCAAGTGACAAGAGAAGTCCTGTCACTAATTGCAATTTCGACTAGTAACGAAACATTCTACTTGTAGTAATTGTCACCCGATATGATAGATTTACTTTCGTAATGATGACCTCTTCGCTACTTTAACAGGATCTCACCAAGTCAAAATAAATATTTTGCTCTGATTTACATTACGTGCTGAAGAATTTACAATAAGAGCACAAGAAAAGCCCCCGATTCTTTCATAAAAGAAGGTGACGTCAAAGCCCCTGAGTGAATCTTGGATCCGATGACAGAACTGCTGCTTATAAAATTTACTGCAACCTACCTTCCTTGCCGCCATAACAGGCGTTGATATCAGCGCAGTATTTGTTGGAAAGTGGAGCGTCGTTTTTGTCTCTAATGCACCAATAGCAACCCACTATCCCGTCACATGACCCTGAATCTGTCTTCTCGTTGCATTTTGGGTCAAAGCATTTCTCTAAGCCACTTACGGAAGGATCATTGATTTGCTCAGAAGGAACGACTGTCGCGGGCACAGGACAAACAGAAGTGCTGCGAAGGAAGAAAAGGACAAAAAGACAACGTTTTTCGGGGAAGCTATGTTTACTTGTGTAAACTATATATTTTGCCTTCACCACACAACCGAACACACTCAAAGGTTGAGGCATGGGCGCGTTGGTCAGCCACGCCCAAGATATGTTTTATTTGCGACAATAAACTTAAAACAAAGTGGATAAGAGATACATGAAGTAACGTCCTACATGCGCCAAAGTCGGACACGTAAACCCCAAAAACCTCTTGTTAGGAAAAATAGAGACCGTGTACCCCCGACCAAAAGCAGTGGCGCCACCTTTGGGGTTTTAAGGTTGATCTATAAACAACAGAATGAAAAAACAAATCATATGACGCTAATTACACAATAAAAATAAACCTTACGGGAAAGTGCTAGTGACAAGGATGACCGTAGAATGTCACAAGTTTCTCATCCGTCTCTTTTTACAAACGTATTACCCATGAGCCTTCGCGTACTACTCTCCCACCCAGTTCTCCGTTCCGTGTCGGCAAAATATTAATTTATGTCAATAAATGTCACAACTTACATTTTTAGAGCAGCACCCGCACCAATCGGTGGTTTGCAACCATTCCCGGGAAATTCAAATAACAAAGACCGTGTCAGCCATGTTAAATGACAGGATCAATAAAACTTTGATCAACTATGCAACATGGCGGCGAAGACCACGGTTCCGAACGATTCTTAAACGCATCACATACCCAGTCCACATTAACTGCCATTGCTGCCCCTTCCAGTGACATATGCCAACTCTGAGCTTCAAAACCTAACAGTATTTTACACTGATGTAAATCAAAATTATGAAAAAAAAAAAGTAGATAAACTTAAAAACCTTATATCAAAGACGAAACTTTTCCAACTGGTTCAATAAATGATTTTGTTTCTGGAGAACTTTGTGAGATAAATTTACGACAGTTTAAAATTCAACCGTTAGAGTTCTAAACTTAGAGTTCGCGTATTATTGACAGGTGCAGTGCAAAGAGCGTTGTGTTTTCTCACTTGCTGGCCGGAAACTCGCTTCTACAATAATGGAAGTCAAGTCGCGAAGAGCATGGACACTGGCAAGTCAAACCCTGAACACTGGAGCATTCTTTGTTACTGGAACACGTGCAAGACCTGGAGGGGCATGAACTTTCACGTGATATGATTCCTGATGAAAGAAACGTATATGTCAGCATGGTGGATCAGGTCGACGAACAAGCCTGTTAAAAAATCCCAATAAAATGAATTAACAGATTATTGAAAAGGAATCAGCTGAATTTTGCATTATACTGGCAGCGCAAAAGGTTCTCGGTATATAGTTGGGCCAAGAAGATAAAATTTCCGCCGTGCAACGCAGGCCGGGGTAGATAAGAAAATGAGAGATAATGACAGTAAACAGTACACGCATACCCAGCTATCTACAAAATTTGATTTCTTTTGTACTCATTGATTCCTTCGATGTCCATTAAAAGTTATTTTTTTCCCAAAATACTTTAAATACTATTACGTCTCATGCCTCTATCTCCATTCATTCCTTAATGCCTAGTGGCAATTTGCTTGGACAATGGAGGAGTGGAGTTATATGTAACATAAATGAAAAAAAGTAGTATTTTAAAAATATATCTGCCATTAAAAGTCACTGTGCTGCAAAAGGTATCGTGGGTCACCAAAATTTTTCACTTTCTTACCTAAAAACGCATTAGTTTCCACCACACTAGAGAGCTGGTACTTCTTGCAGCGGGCTCCACTATTCAGCGTATCAACGCCTTGTAATGGAATCTTAACCTTGTAAAAGTTTTGTAGCTTGATTTTCTCCAAATTGCGGCATTCTTCTTTCACCAGATAACCTTTCTGTAACAAATCTTCGGCTACGTCTTTTTCCTTTTCAGTGATGTGGACATATTCCAGTGTTTTGGCGGTTATATCAGGCACAAGGAAATCATCGTGCATGATAAGAAATCCAGCTGCGTCAAGCACGAAACAGTCAAAGTTGTTTTCTTTGCATTTTGGATATGTATCTGTCAGGAGTCTGAAAAAATATCACCTATTAGTAGGGTAAACACCCTGTGAGGGATGCTAGTCAATGTGTTATCGCCGGCATTTTATCAGGTTATGTACCAGAAGTGACATAATAATGATAGTGATCACGATCATGATCACGATAACGATCACGATCACGATCACGATAAGGATAATGATAACGACAATGATAATGGTAAAAATATTGACCTGAAAAAACTACATTTGAACTTTTATTGGCCTATCACTATATATGGTCATGTTCCGAAAGACGGTTAACCTATGTTTCTGGTAAAACTAACAGACTCACTTTTGGAAGTATGATAGAGGAAAGTCCGCACCCATAACGGCAATAACTTTGTCATTTGTTTTGTGCTGGCTGTTTGTCTCACCACGGTAAATAGTGCGGGCAGCGGTTATCACCACTCCTGCACCAAAGGCGTCTATGTAAGGGGTGGAAAGGGCAACCAATCCCTTGTTGCTTAGCGCGGTGTGGTACCTAAATAACCAGATTTGTACGAGAAATAATATTAATATTTTATTTTACTACTTATGTAAAGGATCGGCATTAGAATTTAGATATATGCAGTGGTGCGGTGGTGCGGTGGTGCGGTGGT